TTCTACTGGTTGATTTTCTGCAGATCCCAGAAGCCTGTGGCCAAATATGCCAAACTTTGCACAGATCTATGCTTTTAAAAGAATTTTATGGAGAACACGACATTTTGTCCTTACTAAACAATTCATACATTGCCTCTGACATCAACGTGTAAGACACTGCCATCTTCGCACGGCAAATGCTAACAGTGTTCTTACCATTAATTCTGTCTTCATGTACACGTAAAAGGGCTCCTAACAAGGTCGCTTTATGTATCTTATTTGTAAATGATATTGCACCAGAGCCCAAGTGTCAAGAACATTTTTATAACTTGTTCATTATAATGCTGATTTTGAAGAAGGGGAATGACCATGTTTTGTCCCTGAATCACTGTATTTTTGTTTAATAAGGGCAGGTGAAATGTTTCCTGCCTGTTCGTATAGAAAGAGTAGTATGTGTTATTACTTTTGGCAACTGTTTGTACTTTCGTAACACATACATAAATGTGAAATCCAATTATTATACTGTAAACTACTGTTTCAAAAGACTAACCTTTTCAGTAATTTAAATCTTGAACAGTCATTATTTGAAGCTGTAAGTAGGAACAGCACTGGATGCAACTTACATTATCAATGGACTCTTCCTATATTAATATATGACATTAAATATAGTGAGATCATAGATTATGTTGTGGTTTCATAGTCAGTACGTTTTTTTCCCTGAATTCATTTCTGTTGACATGTGTTTTTAATACTACACAAAATTCTGAAAACTAAACAAATCGGTAATTAGTTTTTAAAACACAGAATAAATAAAATAAACCTGAAAAATGGATCATACTTAGTCTTCTTTAACAAGATGATTTTGAATGCTAGTTGCTAAAGAAGTTGGAAAATTATGTAATGCTGGTACAGTAGTTGAGTGCTTGTCTTTCGTCTCTTGGTATTGTATCAACATGTTGCTATTAACTGGGTATTTAAATTAATGCATTTCAAAATTATTGATAGGCTACAATGTCTATTTTAGAGGTTCTGCATTAAATTAAATATGATATTTTACTTTTGAGGTAAACTGGACTACTGTTTGACAGTGTAGTGCAATTTCACGAGAAATTATTTTCTTTTTCAGGTCACCAGTCTTTCATGGCTCCATCCTGCAGTGTCTTGCATTGCCCTGCTGCATGCACCTGTAGTAACAATATTGTGGACTGTCGTGGAAAAGGCCTTACTGAGATCCCAACAAACCTTCCAGAAACCATTACTGAAATGTGCGTAATCTGATTTTTTTTAAAAAAATGAACTTACAGAAAACAGTTTTTATTTATGTATTCATTTTTATTTGTATAAATTCATGCATTATACAGGGTAGGAATTTTGGAATGCACATCCAAATTCAGATTTAAAAGGAATATGCAGGTAAATTACAGTATTTAAGATCTTTATGTTCTCTTAGAAGTTAGTTTTGAATGTACTACTCGCAATCTGTAGTTAAAAATGCATTCTGTGTTGGTTTTGAAAGAGTTTTGGAATACTTATATTTCTATAAGTGTGTGGCTTTTCACTGCAGGCTATAAACTTCACCTTCAGTGCTGCTCACTGTGCTTGTTTTGGCTGGGATAGAGTTAATTCTCGTCATAGTATCTGGTATTATGTCATGTTCTGGATTTGTGCTGAAAACAGTGTTGATAACACTGGGATGTTTTAGTTATTGCTAAGCAACTCTTGGAGAGGATACAGCCAAGACAGCTGACCCCAACTGACCTAAGGGATATCCCATACAATATGATGTCATACTCACCAATAAAAGCTGGGAGAAGAATAAGGAAAGGGGGAACGTTCAGTGTTACAATGTTTGACTTCCCAAGTAACCATTACACATGATGGAACCCTGCTGGAGATGGCTGAACACGTGCCTGCTGATGGGAAGTAGTGAATTAATTCCTTGTTTTGCTTTGCTTTGCACACAGCTTTTGCTTTACCTATTAAACTGTCTTTATCTCAACCCACTAGTTTTCTCACTTTTACTCTGCTGATTTTCTTCCCCAACCCATTGTGGGGGGAGCGAGCGAGCAACTGTGTGGGGCTCAGCTGCCTGCTGGGGTTAAACCATGACACTCACCTTCAGTCACTTTATTCATCACACTCCCTATTAGAGAAGCATATTTTTGCATGAAAGATAAGCAACCTATATCACCCATAATAAGTATCCTGATAAAGGAGCATCCTCAGAGGGTAATCTGAGAAGGCAAAAGCACGGTGGTTGAATGGGATCTGTGATATAGTTGCATTTATACCGTGTACGTGTGAATAGAAGAGCATGCATGCTGTTATATGTCATATACAGCACAAACATTTACAAAAATGTTACAACCACGTCCTGAGCATAAAGCAGAGTCATAGCAAAGGTGCTATGGTGCTTGTAGTCTTCAAGAGCAATGTGGCTGAGAGGTTATGTGGACACAGAAGGAAAGTTATTGCTGCGTTGTCTTCTGTGCAGGGGAGAAACAAAAAAAAAAGGTGAACTTGCTGACAAGATGGGCAAGGACTCAGCAACGTGATCATATTTTTATTCTGGGTATGGCAGAGGCAGTGTTTTGGAAGAGAATCTGGAAATTCCCTTTAGGGAAATAGTGGGAAAGAAGCCGTGCCTTCAGCGTGGTAAGGAGGGTCTGGCTAGAACTAATTGAGTTAGTGTATTTAGAATAAAAAACTTGTGAGTACCTTGATGATATAAGATGATAAGAATTTTAGATAAGGAAGTGAGGGGAACAGATGCCTGAAGTGAAAGGGAAGAGGTTTCCTGAACATACATATCTAGCTAGCTAGCTATTGTAATAATATCTTCTTGAAAGTTTAAAAACAGGCCTCCACGATGAGATTTTAAAAGATAAAGTAGAATTTTACAGTTTTATGTAAATTTTATCCTTGTGGTTTCTTGGGATCTGACCTGTGTTTTTGAACTTCACAGAACTGTAACTACTGTGGTTTCTTCTTAGGATGTCAGTAATAATCACATCTGCTGATCCATTATTACTACTGTTAAGACTGACCTGGCTGACCCTACCTGACCCAGTTCAGTCATTTGGCTATATAATACAAACACTTCTACTTTTCATCCCTCTCAGTAAAAAAAACCTCTGCTTTGCAAATAAAAGAACTGCTTAAAAAAATCCATGCACAGTGGATTGGAAGGCTGCACAGACTGTTTCCATTATTTAACTAGTTGAATACTGGTTTTTTTACTTGCATAAGTACATCTGTGTGCATAGAGAATGGAAAAAAATATTACAAGGAAGAAGTAGGGAGTACATCTCAAACATTCCCCACTATGTTTCTGCTGCTAACCTCTGGAACTAACTGCTGAATGGTGATTACAGACACTGGAAGACGGACTTCTGGATCACTGTCTTCTAGACCTACATAGTTTAGTGGGAGTACATGCTGTTAACATCTGTACTTCCATGAGAAATTCAGTATTAGAGTTTACAAGGGTATTCATGATTCTTTGTTTTAAGGGTCATCCCTCCCAAAGAAATGATAGGATTTAGGAGTTACTAGTTGGCACTGAATCCACTGTGAGCATAAGGTAAAGGCAAATGGGAATTTACAGAATTGAAAGGTGCTTTTGACTAATCTGTGCTCTGTTCTTTCTATGTAAGAAATGCTGTTGAGTTTTAAGCATGGACTGGTATGATCTTCAGCAGTTTATTGGCCTGGAGAATAGAAGCAACCACTTAACAACACCTCCAGCATTTGGCTAAGCATTTAACAGATTGCAAATCGAGGGTCAATGTTTTCTGCTAGACTGGGCAGTGTTTTATCTCTCTGTATTGTATATAGTTTGTAAGTGCTGGCTAAATAAAATGCAGATCACAGTATTTTGCACAGTTAAATAATACCATTCATGCCATGAGACATGTACATACATTTATTCAAAAGCTGGTGCAAGAAGAGATAGAACATTAGAAAGCCCAACTTTAGTAATTATTCTAGTTGCTTTAATATGAGGAAAATAATTAATGATAGTTCTTTTATGATTGTCACGAGTGGCAGGTATATTTACTGTCTTAGCATCAAAGACAATGAGGGAGAAAGAAGAGGTTGGAGAATGAGTGGTTTATGGAGTAAAAAAGGTTTTACCAATAATGAGGTTCAGGAAGTCTGTAAGACTGGATCAAACCAGCTCTTGGTTGTATGTTACTTCTTAAAGCTGCTCTGTGAAAGACTTCATTCCTCTCTGATTTTAACTTCAACATGCAGAAAGATTGTGACATTCCTATTTTGTTATCATACAATAAAAAGTGTTTTAAAGCTTCATTTTTAAAGAATTACTTTGCATCTGTTGCTTAAAGCAACCCCTTGAGATTAGATTAGAAAGAATGATTGTATCCCATAAAATAATCTGTTTTTTCACTTACTCCTTCTGTGATAATGTTGTCAGCATGCCAAAGTGGTAGCTGAGAGTAGACATTTGAAGAGATGAGCATGCTGTCACAGTAGCGTTGAGAATGCTGGGGAGCTGCTGAGCACAAGGCAGGAGAGTATAGTGAGCACTGTATTTCCACCCCCATTATACAGTTCCCACACAAATTGCTTTATTATCTTAATTACCATTTTAAGCACATGCTTTGGCGTGAGCTCCCCAGTTCTCAGGGAGAAAGGGAAAGAGAAGTGATCTGGTTCCCTGTTGTTTTCTGAAGGATGTACAGGCTTTAACAGCCAAATTATTATTAAATCGCTGATTTTTATAATACCACCATCACCAGATTCTTGCACGCACCGCAAGAAAATTGGCATTATACTTCTATTTTATGTGTGCCAGAAGTTGTCTAGTCTTTTCAGTAGTTTTTCTAATTTGTCAGTCTTTTCCTGCATTTTCAACTGAATATTGTCATCTTATTTTCTAAATGTTCAGAAACATTTGAAAAATCCATAATACTTTCAAATTCCCTTACTCTGGACAAGTTTCTCTCCCCTACAATGTTGTCACCTGTTTGTAGGCTGTATTTGTAAAATCCAGTGCTGAGTACTACCAACTTGTCATGTTATGTTTCAGCCAACTTCATGGTCCACAAAAACCTCTGATGATTACATCTTTCCTGCCCTTTGTCTTTGTATTATTGTATGTCATGTGAATAGCCTTTTCCTATGAGGCTGACATTAAACTCCATTGTCAGCCATTCTTTATTAAGTTGCTTAAAAATTGACAAATTATTTTTGTGAGATTTAATTTTTCCATCCATTTCTGCCTCTTATTTCTTTGTTGTTATGTTTATAGCAGGTTACTCTTAATAAGAATATAATCCATATTTAATTTTTTAAGGTCCGTCTTCCTGTTATTTTTTTCCTTGAGGTTCCTGTGAAGTAGGCTTTCAACATGTGCTTGTGGTTTTGTGATGTTTTGGCATGTTCTCTATCCATTTCTTCCATCTTTCTCTCAACTGGAAGCCTGACCTCATTCAACTCCTCAGTACCCTACAAAGCACTGATTTATTCCTCTTTGCCCAACACAGACTTCCTTTAGGTAAATTTTGTCTGACCTGTTTCTGCAGGAAAATACTTTGTATTCGTTACATCATCAGTTCATCTGGGACAATGCTGCATAAAATCTAAGTGGTGTTAATAATGTTGTTATTCTCTGTCCTTCTGGTATATGTAATTAAGCTGCAGGTTTGAAGAGTACATTCCATGTTGAAAATTTATTTTTTCCAGGGGGTTAATAAGTTTATTTAGTTGATAAATCTAAATAATGTGCTAAAACCTCTGTAAATGGAATATTGAATTTATTAAGTATTAAATATTCACTGTTTCAGTTGAGTGAAATTTTCCACATTGAAGCTCTGAGTTCTCTCTTCTGGGAAAAGGGCTTTCTGTTTATAGTCTACTACTGGTGTCATGGCTTTGCATTGCCTTGATAATTCTGCTGGACAACTGTTTTGGGATGACATTTTAAGACAGTAGGAGCTGTCTTCTCTGCTCATGGCTACTGCTTCTGTAGCAGAACTGGCAAGGAGATTATGTGCTTGCACTGCACTGCAGCCTCCCTATCTTTGAGTTAGGTGTAATATCCTAAATCACTGAGGTAAATGAGTTTGCACTGGAAGCTGAAATGATTGAGGAATGAGGAGGAGTTCAATGATGGTGGTAGCAGGAGGAAGCAGAACCAGTTGCCAGATGCTCTTTCATTCCAGTGCAGTTTGATTTACTGGTGAGCATCAGGATGTTGCTGAGATGATTTTGTCATACTACTCTGTCTGACTTCTCAATT